GATGGGTCCTTGACATGGTAAATTATCCAGGATGGTGGGGGCCAGGGTTTGAGGCTGGAGAAGTGGGTGATGGGGCTGGGAATGTAGGTCAATGGAGCACGGCACTGGGTCCTGAGTGCCAGGCTGAAACTTGACCTTGATCCTGAGGGCCTTGAGAAAAGGACAGACAGGATCGGAGGTGATAGGAGAAAGATCGCACTGTAGTCCAGTTGAGGGGAGAGAAGGGGGTTGGGCAGGGAGGTGGAGAGACCGGAGATGCTCCCCCCAAATGAGGGGAGCAGACAGGCAGAACTCGGTGAAGACCCAGGCTTGCATGTACCTTCTGGGGTTCTTCCACCCACATGCACTGTGCACGATCCCACGCTGACGTACATGCCCTGTCCTCAGAAAAACCTTCCTGGCTTAGTCCCACTGCACCAGCTCTGAGAAAGAAAAAAGGCCGTCTAAGCCAGCCATCCTCCCGGGAAGCTGAATGGAACAGTAAGTGACTCTCTAGAGAAAGGGGAACGAGGATCCAACATGGGAGCTGAAGTTTGGAGCAGAAGTCAGGATTAGAAGGAGGGTCAGAGACCACGGTCCATTTGCTTTGCCAACATGAATGGCAACCTTAGTTTTACCCTGCAGAGTAGAAGGATGTCAGAAATTATCACAGAGTGGCCATTCCAGACTGTCTCTCGATCCTAAAGATCTTTAGAGCTGAGAAAAAGTATACTTAGATGTCTCAAGAACCAAAGGCAGGTGAAATTTTATCAAGGCGAAATTTGAAATCAGCACAACATGGTAAATCAACTCTACTTCAATAATAAAATAAATTAAAATGCAAAAAAGAACTCCCCCAAGCCAAACCAAACAAACAAAAACCTTCCTGGAATTTGGAATTAAAAAGGTGAGTTAGCTAAACTTAAAAGAAAGGAGTAGGATGCAGGATTTGTCACTTTAATGCATGAAATATTCATTGCAATAGGCAAAATAAGCCTCAGACTCTTATGTTTTGACCTTTTTCTCCCCCTACACACTGAATCCAGCCTCGGGGCTCTAAATCCTCCCAGTCAACCGGTTCTGAATTATAGAGGTGAACAAGACAGCTCAGGTTTTGCCCTCAAGGAACATGAGCTCTGCAAAAGCAGCATCTCCAGACATCATTGTCTGTTTTTGTTCACAGACAGACCTAAGTTGGCACACAGTAGGTGCTCAGTAAATAGGTGTCGGATGAATCCTTGGCTCTCACATCCTAGCAGAGACAGAGACTTGGAGAGACAGCTAAAGATGGATGCAGAGAGCTGGGGGCAGACCAAAAGAAGAGCCTGGATGGTAAGGGGTCAGGAGAGGCAGGCCCGGATGGCCTGGAACCAGGGAGGGAGGAGGCACCCTTTGGGTTCCCCACCCAGCGCCCCATTTCCTAAGGGGCCAGGAGCCACCCACCCCTTCTCCCAGCCTCTTGGCTTCCTGCCCCATCGGCAGGTGGCCCTGCCCAACTCTCGCCCACACCTGGCTATGCCCGGCAGTGTGTGGAAGGCACCTGCTGGGGCCCCTAGACTGGATCCCTGCCCCTTTCTGCCCCCAAGGCACCAGGTCCTGGATGCGGGTCAGGAGGAGGTGTTGAGGGGGTCCCTCGGCAACGTGGCCAGAGTCTTCCTGGCCCCAAATGGACAGCGAGGGAGACAGAGGGACTGAGAGACGCAGAGATACAGGCATTCGGTGACACAGAGAGAGGGGGAGGGAAGAACAAGGCGAGGAAGACAGAAATAGAGATAGGAGACAGGGAAGGGTAGACTCAGAAAAGAGACAGGTAACAGAAAAGATACAGAGAGAGACCCAGGGTGTGGAGAAAGGAGGTCAATTAAGAAGCACAGAAACACATGAGAGGGCATGAACAAACTGTGGAGGTGATGGATACATTTGTTATCCTGGTTGGGGTGATGATTGGATGAATGTGGGTCAGAACGCATCACGTTGTACATATTGAACATGAGCATTTTATCGTAGCTCAGTCATACCTCAATAAAGCTGTACAAAATAAAGAAGAAAGAGACATTGGCTGGGCGCCTTAATACGGAAAGAGACTCAAAGATTCCAAGGCAAGCGGAACACAGAGAGAAGCCTTGAGCAGAGGGAGGAGGGCAGAGGGAGGAAGGCAGGGCAGGCCAAAGGAGTGAAGGCACCGGGAAGACGGAAAACCCGAGCCCAGCGCGCCTCCGAGCAGGGGAGGCGCTGGGTTTGAGGCTCGGGGAGGCCCCGGGGCCAGAACTCTGGAGATCCTTCCCCATCCCGGGGCCAGGGAGGTAGGGAGTGGCTTTCGGGACTGGGTGGGGGGTGCTCTGGGGGCGGAGGTGGGGGGAAGGCCGGAGGAGTGGTTGCTAAAGCCCGGTAGGGCGCCTCACTACCCGGGAATGCGCCCCGGGGATCAGTGGGTGGTTATAACCCAGGCCGGTGCCAGGAGCCGAAGAGGAGGAGGTGGCGGCTGCAGGACCACGGCGGCGGCGGCGGCGGCGGCGGCCTGACAGTCTGCGGCTGAGCGGGGAGCCAGGTCCCCACCCCCCACCTGGGGGACGCGGCAGGTGAGCCCTGGGGAGGGACGAAGGGACGCAGAGACTGCTCCGTGTGGGCTCTGGTCTGGGAAGGATGCTTGCGCGTCCTCTCTCCATCTCATCTCCATCCTCGCTCGGAGACCAGAGACCGGAGGATGCTCCGAAGTACTAGAATTTCCCCCGAGCCTCAACTCAGCGCTCTGGGTGGACCACGTGCTCACGGCCCCTCTCTGCTCTGAGCAACAGGGGACGGAAGGAGATAGGGGTGGGATAAGTGGTCCCAGAATCACCTGCCCACCCTCTTCTCCCCCACCTCCATCAGGTGCAAAGACCATGGCCGCGGGAGGAGCCACCTGGTCCTGGATGGTCCACACCCTAATCGCAGCCCTGATTCTGAGGGCGACAGGTAACCAGGACAACATAGGCCAGCCGTGTGGGGTGGAGAGGAGCTGTCAGGGACTCTTGATCCAGGGGGACCCCATGTGACTAGTTATGGCCCCAAGGTTGGGTGAATGCGAATCTGCATTTATGATTGTGTGTGGCAGTGGGACTGCTATGTATGTTAGCATGTGTGTGTGAGTGTGAGTGTGAGTGTGTGGTGCCTTTTCCCATATCAAGTGACTATCTGTGACAGGTGGGACTACCCTTTGAGACTGTACATGTGATCGTGTGACTGAGTGTGTGTGCATCTAAGATGGTGTGTGTGTCTCAGTGACTGTGTGGGTGGCGGTCTGTGTGCTGTGAGTGCTATTGTGTGTGTGGCTGTGTGTGGCTGTTCGGCTGGGTGTATGGATGCCAGCTGGTTTCTGTCCCTGCGTCACAGGATTGAGTCTGACAAAAGTGCTTGGCGCCATGAAAATGTGTGGCTAGGTGCCTTCAGGTAGCCATTTGTGACTGTGTGATTGTGGCTGGGTGCGACGTTATGGGTGGTTATGGGTGGCTCTCTTTGTGACAGCTACAGATATTGTTCACTAGTTTGACAGCAAGGAGATCAAACCGGTCGATCTTAAGGGAAATCAACCCAGAAACACTCATTGGAAGGACTGATGCTGAAGCTGAAGCTCCAGTATTTTGGTCACCTGATGCAAAGAACCAATTCATTGGAAAAGACACTGATGTTGGGAAAGACTGAGGGCAGGAGAAGGGGATGACAGGGGATGAGATGGCTGGATGGCATCACTGATGCAATGGACATGAACTTGGGCAAACTTCAGGAGAGGGTGAGAGACAGGGAGGCCTGGCGTGCTGCAGCCGGTAGGGTCACAAAGAGTCAGACACAATTGAGTGACTAAACAACAACTCTGTGTGGTTGGTTGAGGTTCTGTGTATGGGTGACTGTGTGTGGCCATGTGTTTGGAGGATCTAGCTCCCTGACTGTGGATCAAACCTGGGCCCCCTGCATCGAGAGCTCGGAGTCTTAGCAGCTGCACCGCCAGGGAAGTCCCATGACTGCGTATTTGTAGGGGTTGTACATGTGACCACGCAGTGGTGTGTGTGAAGTTCCCATCCCTCCTGTGACAGCGGAGTGTGTGGAAGAGGCTGTCATCACGAGAGAGTGAATGAGGCTGGGTGACTTGCCCTGTGTCATGCTTGATCCACAGAGTCTATCTAACCTTGTCACTATGCTATCGTGCTGTGTGCAGAATTGAGGGGCAGTCTCTCCATGTCCGTGCCCACGTCACTAAGATACTGTGTGGGGGGAAGTGAGATCATGTCAGTTCAGTTCAGTCACTCAGTTGTGTTCAACTCTTTGCAACCCCGTGGTCTGCAGCATACCTGGCTTCCCTGTCCATCACCAATTCCTGGAACTTACTCAAACTCATGTCCATCAAGTCAGTGATACCATCCAACCATTTCATCCTCTGCCGTCCCCTTCTCCCCCCACCTTCAATATTTCCCAGCATCAGGGTCTTTTCCAGTAAGTCAGTTCTTCACAGCAGCTGGCCAACATATAGGAGCTTCAGCTTTAGCATCAGTCCTTCCAATGAATATTCAGGACTGATTTCCTTTAGGATGGACTGGTTGGATCTCCTTGCAGTCCAAGGGACTCTCAAGAGTCTTCTCCAACACCACAGTTCAAAAGCATCGATTCTTCAGCACTCAGCTTTCTTTATAGTCCAGCTCTCACATCCATACATGACCACTGGAAAAGTGTCAGCCTTCCCCAAATAAGTGTACCCGGGGAGCGTGTGTGCCACGAGGCAGAGCTGTGTGTGGGGATGATACATGTCACTGGGTGTGTGTGTGTGTCTGTGACAGCCGTCATGCTCTTGGAGAGTGCGTGTAAATGAAGATGGTGCTTGTCTGGGTCTTTAGCAAGAACACAGACAAAGATGGGTTAACAGGCGATGGGAGAACCAGTGATGGAGGAAGGTATCTGGGTCCCTTTGTGCAGGTTTGTGTGATGAAGGGGGGCTCACATTTGTGTTTTTGAATTCACAAAACAACTCTGATTTCCACCGCCCCATCCCAATGAACCCCTCCCCCCACCCCCNGGCTTCCTGCGACGACCCGTCTGCCATCGGGCCCTCTGAAAGCACCCGGGACCTCAGGCCAGGGGCGACGGAGGACACCCGGGCGGGTGAGAGCAGCAGCCGCATCGTGAATGGGACCAACTGCGAGAAGAACAGCCAGCCGTGGCAGGCTGCGCTGCTGCTGAGATTCAACAAGCTCTACTGCGGGGCCGTGCTGGTGGACCCGCAGTGGCTGCTCACGGCTGCCCACTGCCGCAAGCAGTGAGTGGGGGCTCCAAGAGGAGGGCTGGGGGGCTGGGGGAGAGGCACGGGGGGTTTGGTGAGGGTGGGATGGGGGCTGGGGGCTGGGCGTGGGGCGGTCTGGTGATGATGGGATGGGGACGGGAGAGCAGGAGGTGGTAGAGTTGGGGATATGATTTAGAATGGAGCTGGGGAGGAGAGTGGGGCGGGGATGACGTCAGACTGGGAGGGGGTTGTGGTAGGGGATGGGAGTTAGGGATGAGCTGGATTTGAGGCTAGAAATGCAAGCCCTGGATGATTAGGAATGCAAGGCAGAAGACACAGGAGATGCGGGTTCTGTCCCTGGGTAGGGAAAATCCCCTGGTGGAGAAAATGGCAACCTACTCCTGTATTCTTGCCTGGAGAATCCCATGGACAGAGGAGCCTGGTGGGCTACAGTCCATGGGGTTGCAAATAGTTGGACACAACTGAAGCGACTTCGCATGCATGGTTAGATGTGAGATTGAGGATGGTTGTATTTGGGGTTGAGAATGCATTTGTTCATGGTTTTTGTGGGAGGCTTCCATTGTGGCTCAACTGGTAAAGAATCTGCCTGCAATGCGGGAGACCTGGGTTTGATTCCTGGGTTGGGAAGACCCCCTGGAGAAGGGAAAGGCCACCCATTCTGGTATTCTGTCCTGGAGAATCCCATGGACAGGGGAGCCTGGTGGGCTACAGTCCATGGGGTCGCAAAGAGTCAGACACGACTGAGCGACTTTCACTTTGCTTTGTGTGGGGAAAGGATTAGAGTTGGCGCTGGAGACGGGCTGGAGATGCATTTGCCGTTGTGACTGGGGCAGGGTTAGGCAAAGGGTTGGAGGCAAAGATGGTGTCAGGGATGGGTTTGAGGATGGGGGTGAAAATGGGGTTGGGGGTAGGTTTGGCATGGGAGTTGGCATTGCATATGGGGATCAGGCTCAGAATCGGTGGGGTGATCAGCACCGTCTTCCTCAGATTTTTCAGAGTCCGTCTTGGCCACCACTCGCTGTCACCCATGTATGAGTCTGGGCAGCAGCTGTTCCAGGGCATCAAATCCATTGCCCACCCTGGCTACTCCCACCCCGGCCACTCCAACGACCTCATGCTCATCAAACTGAACAAAAGGATCCACGAGACTCCGAACGTCAGGCCCATCAACATCGCCTCCCGTTGTCCTTCTGCTGGGACCAGCTGCCTGGTGTCTGGCTGGGGAACAACCAGCAGTCCCCAGGGTGAGTGTCTGGGTCTCTCTCTTGATGCCCACCTATGTCTGCCTTCTCCCCTTCTCTGTCTCTGAGCACTCTGCCCCTCCCCCATCTTCCTCCATCGCTCACCGCCTGCCCGGCCCTGCGGTCTCTCTGTTCCAGTTACCTTCCCCAAAGCCCTCCAGTGCCTGAACATCACGGTGCTGAGTGACGACCAGTGCAAGAAGGCCTATCCAAATCAAATAGATAACACCATGTTCTGCGCTGGGGACCAGGCGGGCAGAGACTCTTGCCAGGTAAGGCTGGAGACTTCTCCATTCATTCAGCTGATACACATGGAAACCAGCTATGTCCCTGGAACCTTGCTGCGTCCTGGGGACCCCGTGATGATCAAGTCAGTGAGACCCTCTATTCCCACAGAGCTCACATTCTGGAGCAATGCTTTCCAGTAAAAATATCATGCAAGCCTTACATGTAATTTTAAACAGTGAAGAATCTGCGTCCAGTGCAGGAGACCCAGGTTTAATCCCTGGGTTGGGAAGATTCCCTGGAGGAGGGCATGGCAACCCGCTGCAGTATTCTTGCCTGAAGACTCCCATGGACAGAGGAGCCTGACAGGATACAGTCCATGGGGTCACAGAGAGTCAGACACAACTGACCAACTAATACTTTCACACACAGTTACATGTAAAAAAAAAAAGTAAAAACAAACAGGTGAAATTAACTATTTTAATAATATAGATGGCCCAGTGGTTGAGACTCTACCTTTCGTCGCAGGGAACATGGGTTTGATCCCTAGTTCGGGAAATAAGCTCCCACATGCCGTGGGACAACTAAGCCCACGTGCTGCAATGAAGACCCAGCAAATAATAATGATAAGGACAGTAATAATAGTAATGGTGACTCAGTGGTAAAGAATGTGCCTGTCAATGAGGAGACAAAAGTTTGATCCCTGGGTGGGGAAGATCCCCTGGAGAAGGAAGTGGCAACCCACTCCAGTATTCCTGCCTGGAGAATCCCATGGACAGAGGAGCCTGGTGGGCTACCCCCTGGAGTCCATGGGGTCCCAAAGAGTCGTACATGACTGAGCCACTGAACACACACGTGGAATAATAATATACCCTATTTAATCCCATGTATCCTAAGTACCACCATTTCAAAATGTAATTAATATGTAAGAATTAAGAATGAGATGTTTTACATCCTTTGATTCTCATAGTAAGTCTTTGAAAGCTAGTGTGGATGTTTTTCAATGGTTTTTCTTTTTCCTGTTTTTTTTTTTGTTTGTTTGTTTGCGCCAGTGTGTCCTTGTCCATTGACAGCATATCTCAGTCGGGGCTAGCTGTGTCTCAAGCGCTCAAGCACACCGTGTAGCTAGTGGCCACTGCGTTAGACAGCACTGGCCTCAAGGCAGAGATCAAGCCCGTGTTGTATGGACAGGCAGGGTGTGCCCTGAAAAAAGTACCACATCCGAGGGGCCACCCTTCGTACCACATACGTCGCGTGTGTTCAGCTGCTCAGTCGAGTCTGACTCTTTGCGACCCCATAGACTGTAGCCTGCCAGGCTCCTCTGTCCATGGGATTTCCCAGGCAAGAATCCTAGAGTGGGTTGCCACCCCCTCTTCCAGGGGATCTTCCCCACCCGGATCAAACCCAGGTCACTTGCATGGCAGGCAGATTCTTTACTGTCTGAGCACCAGGGAAGCCCCAATAAACATCACAGATTTGTCTTATTTATTTTGGCACTTTTCAGGCAAGTGCAGTCTTAAGAGTCTTATTCCCTCAAAATCTGTAGGTGGAAAGTTTTTTGACAAATTCTTATGAAACATCTCAAAAAAGGAAAATGGGAACTAGGGGTATTTTTTAAAAGGTAGTATTTAATCGACAGGATTGATCACAAAGTTGTTGGTGTAGTAAAAAGTTTAAAAAAAAAATCCGATGGTCAAAAAACTGCACAAAGAGGGTAATTTCAGAAAGTGGTAAGGACCATGCAGAAAATAAAACATCGTTTAATGATAGCGAGTGATGGGGGAGCAATGTATGGAAGGGTGGTTGGAAGAATCTTGAAGAGGTGACATCTGAGCATAGATTGAATGACACACATGAGCCAGCCTTGCAGAAGTTTAGAGCAAGAAAAGCATGTGCAAAGGCCCTGCGGTAGGAAGGAATTCTGCTGATTCAAAGAATAAAAAAAAAAGAGCCAGCATGTTTAGGGGACAGAGGTTGAGAGTGGAAGGATGACTGGAACCCAGTGTTCAGCAAATATTTCTTGATTCCCAGGACACAGCTTCTTTATGTTCTCATGGGAGCTCTGTTTGTTGAGGATGACAGAAATTAAATTGTTACAGCTCAGGACCCTTCCCTACATTTAGGTCCCCAAAGGCTCTGGATGTGTGCTAAGTTGCTTCAGTCTAGTCTGACTCTTTGTGACCCCATGGACTGTAGCCCGCCGGGCTTCTCTGTCCATGGGACTCTCCAGGCCGAGAATAATGGAGTAGATTGCCATTTCCTTCTCCAGAGCATCTTGCCAATCCAGGGATCAAGCCTGGATCTCTTTTGTCTCCTGCATTTGGCAGGTGGGTTCTTTATCACTAGTGCCACCTGGGAAACCCCCCCTCCCTCCAAAGGGTCTGCTACTGCTGCTGCTAAGTCACTTCAGTCGTGTCCAACTCTGTGCGACCCCATCCCTGGAATTCTCCAGGCAAGAACACTGGAGTAGGTTGCCATTTCCTTCTCCAATGCATAAAAGTGAAAGTGAAGTCATTCAGTCCTGTCTGACTTTTCGCGACCCCATGGACTTCAGCCTACCAGGCTCCCCCATCCATGGGATTTTCCAGGCAAGAGTACTGGAGTGGGGTGCCATTGGCTTCTCCGTCCAAAGGGTCTAGAGGAATGTAAATTAACAAGCTCTCTGCTGGCAGGATGTATGCTCAGTAATATCTGTTAAGCTGTGGGCTCAGACAGCACTCCAGACCCGTTCTGATGCCTGGGAAAAGCTCCCCTACCCCAAAAATCTGACAAATGTAACAATTTCAAAAACTTCCCAGGTCCACCAGCTTAATCTCTGTTCCCAGTTAACACTGGAAGCACACACATCTGGATGGAGAGGTTTTTATGAGAAGAAAGCACATCTGATTCAGATACCAAAATCTTAAAAAAAAAAAAAAGCTTTTAATTTTGTATTGGAGTGGAACTGATTAACAATGTTGTGACAGTTCTAGGTGAACAGAGAAGGAACCCAGTCATACATACACATGTATCCATTCTCCCCCCAAACTCCCCTCCCATCCAGGCTACCACGTGACACTGAATTCCACGTTCTCTACAGTAGGTCCTTCTTGGTTATCCATTTGAAATACAGCAGCATGTACATGTCCATCCCAAACTCCCTAACCATCCATTCCCCTTGGCAAGCGTAACTTGTTCTCTAAGCCTGTGAGTCTCTTTCTGTTTTGTAAATAAGATCATGTGTATCATTTCTTTTTAGATTCCACATAAAAGAGATGCTTCTCCTTCTCTCTCTGTCTTACTTCACTCAGTGTCCAGATGTCAACATAGTAAAATACGTAGCTTTTCTGTAGCCAAGGGTAGTACTTTGGTTGTTTTTTTTTTTTTCCCCTAAACCTCAAGTGACTTTTTCATACCCGAATGCAGTCTGGGCGTGGCCACTAAAAGCAAGAAGTAATAACAATCACACTAATACTATAATAATAATAGGAGCTAATTAATTGCCAGACACTCTTTTTAAGTGGTTCAGAAGCATCAGCTCAATTAATCCATTTAACCATTATTATTAACTCTGTTTTACAGACAAGGAGCCAGGGCTCAGAGCAGTTAACTCACTGCCGAGCAAAAGGAACTCTGCAGGGATATTAAACAAGAGCGAACAAAAAAGAAGGAGAGAAATTAAACCACAAGAAAGTTGAAATTTAGCGACAGGGGCAGCAGAGCTTTTTTTTGCCTGGAAAACAGCATCTGCATTATAACACGAGAAGAAGCCAGGTTGGAGGGATTTTGCATAAACATAAACAAGAAGTGACAGGGAAAATGCCCAAGTATTATTACAGGAAGGGTCTTTACAGGGAGCTAAGGGAATTAAGCAGAGGCAACCCAAATTAGTCCTCGAGAGCGATCCTCAATCCTGAACCCCCGGGGGACATGTGACGATGCCTGAAGATGTTTTTGGTGGTCTCAGTGTGTCTGGGGAGGGAGGGAGCTCCTAGTGTGTAGTGGCTGGAGGGCTGCTGCTAAAGGTCTTACAATGCACCGAACAGCCACCCACAGCGAAGAACTGTCTGGTCCCAGTGGGTTCCCCAGGGGGCTCAGTGTAAAGAATCCACCTGCCAGTGCAAAAGCCTCTGGGGACACAGCTTCCAGCCCTGAGTCAGGAAGGCCCCTTGGAGGAGGAGATAACAACCCACTCCAGTATTCTTGCCGGGAGACTCACGGACAGGGGAGCCTGGCGGGCTACAGTCCATGGGGCCGCAAAGAGTCAGACATGACTACGTGACTGAGCGAGCGTGCAGAATGTTAGCACTGCCAGGCTGAAAAAGCATCACCCAGGGTTGACAACAGCTCCTCTGCAAAAGTGAGGTATAGGTACAAGGCGGATTGGTGTCAAGGATGGGTGAAGAGTGAGGAAGGGAAAGGAAGGCGTGTCCAGTAGGAGAAACTCAGTATTCCAAGGTTGGAGATCACCCAGGGTTGACAACAGCTCCTCTGCAAAAGTGAGGTATAGGTACAAGGCGGATTGGTGTCAAGGATGGGTGAAGAGTGAGGAAGGGAAAGGAAGGCGTGTCCAGTGGGAGAAACTCAGTATTCCAAGGTTGGAGGGAAGAGGGAGAAAGAAATAGAAGGAAACACAGAGACAGGCATGAGGAAGACAGACAGAAAAGAGGGTGGGGTTTGGCTAGAGAGGGACAGTGTCAGTGCGTGTCAGCGGCTCAGTGGTGTCCGACTCTGCGACCCCATGGACTGTAGCCCGCCAGGCTCCTCTGTCCATGGGATTCTCCAGGCAAGTATACTGGAGTGGGTGGCCATTCTCTTCTCCAGGGGATCTTCCTGATCCAGGTAATCAAACCCAGGTCTCCTGCATTGCAGGCAGATTCTAGACCATCTGAGCCACCTGGAAAGCCTAGAGACAGATAAAGGGGGTTCCTAAAGGGTGGACTTGGGGTGAAAGAGTAATATGCTCCCCGTGTGTCTCTTTTTACCTGTGTCTCGCTCTCTGGTGTCTTCCTCATCTGGGTGACCCCCTCCCTCCACCTCCCCACATCGCTGCCTCTTTGTGCCTCCCTGTCTCCTCCACAGGGTGATTCCGGGGGTCCTGTGGTCTGCAATGGTTCCCTGCAGGGCCTCGTGTCCTGGGGAGACTTCCCCTGCGCCCAGCCCAACAGACCCGGCGTCTACACCAACCTCTGTCAGTTCACCAAGTGGATCCAGGACACTATCAAGTCCAATTCGTGATTCATTCCTGGACCCGGCTTCTGGACTCCCCTCATCCCCCCGATCCCCCCACAAGTCCCCACCCCTGCAGGGACCCTGACACTCCTTCCAGACCCCAGTTCCTTCCCTAAAATGTTAAGGTTGCTCATCTCTCCAGCACCCCCCTCCACCTGTCTCCTGGAGTCAAGATCCCCCCTCCCTGGACAGTGGAGAGACCAGTCCTTCTGGTCGGATCCTGAAGATAGTTCCCGTAACACCCAGGGCGAAGGCTGCACCTCAGTCTCCCCAGTGCTTCCTTCCTCAGGTCCGGAGTCCACCTTCTCTGCAGCTGTGAGCCAGATTTGATCCCAGAAATAAAGCATCTGAGAAGGGGGCTTCTTCTGTGTACAGCCTCTTGCTTGAACGGCCGGGTGGCCAGGAACAAGTCACTGGCCCCTCTGCACTGCTGTTTGCTCTGTTGGGTCATCATTGCAGTTGCAGGAAACAGATTCCTTCGATCAGCTTTTCAATTTATTCACAAATGCTGATCAACTGACGATTTCCTGCCAGGAATGGGTCCGCATGCTGGGGATACGACAGTGGGCAAAACAGAAAAGATAGACAAACACTTTTATGCTCTAATAAGTATGTAAGTGATATGAATAAAAGGAGAACAGGGCATGGGGAAGAGAAGGAACATAGGGGGAGGGGCGTATTTACACAGATGGTTGGAGGGGTGTGGGGGAGCAGTAGCCACCCCCATGCTCACCCCAAGGTGTCCATATCCTAATCCTTGGAATCTGTGAATACATGACTTCATGTGTGTGTTAGTTGCTCAGTCGTGTCCGACTCTTTGCGACCCCATGGACTACAGCATACCAGGCTCCTCTGGCCATGAGATTCTCCAGGCAAGGATACTGGAGTGGGTTGCCATTTCCTTCTTCAGGGGTTCTTCCCGACCCAGGGATCAAACCCCAGCCTCCCACACTGCGGGCAGGCTCTTTACTGTATCAGCCACCAGGGGAGCCCCATGACTTTACACGGCAAAGGATGTTGCCGCTGTGACCAAATTAAGGATTTTGAGAGGGAGAGGCCAATATAATCCAAAGGGCCCTTATACGAAGGAAGCAGGGTAGGGAGTCAAAATGAGAGAGGGACTGGACGATGCTATGCTGATGGGTTTGAAGATGAAGGAAGGGGCTGTGAGCCTAGGAATGCAGATAATGAAAAAGGCTCAGAAATGGATTCCCTCCGAGAGCTCCCAAAAGGAATTCAGTGCTGTCTGCCAGTGCCTTGATTTTAGCCCAGTGAGACAACAGTGTGAACATCTGAGCTCCAGAACCGTAAGACAGTAATTTGTTATACACTACTAAGCTTGTGATCATTTGTTACGTCAGCAACAAGAAACCAATGTAAAGGCCCTCTCAGAGGAGGAGGCATCTGAGCTGAGACCTGCGAGATGAAGGGTTTCTCTGCTGGCTCAATGGTAAAGAAGCTTCTTTACCGTCTCTGCTAATGCAGGAGACACAGGTTCTATCCCCGTGTTGGGAAGATCCCCTGGAGAAGGAAATGGCAGCCCACTCCAGTACTTACCTGGACGATCCCATGGACAGAAGAGGCTGATGGGCTACAGTCCATGAGGTCCCAAAGAGTCAGACACGACTTAGCGACTTAACAACGACAGCGTGTGAGATGAAAAGTGACCAGCCCCGTGAATGTCTGGGACCTGGAATTCTAGATAAAAGGATAAGTGCAACGGCTGCAAGATGGTGATGGGATGGGCATTTCTCAGAAGGCAAAGAAGACCAGTATACCTGGAAGCCGGTTTGTTTGGTTTCCCTAAAAGGTCAGGAAGCCACCAGGGGTTTTAAAGCCGGCTGGTGACAGTGCTAAGCAGATCATTCCGATATTGGTGGAAAACAAAACGGAGCTGCTTATTGGCCAAAGTTAAAAAGGGAGGTGCGTTATCAACAGACTGTCCATGACTTGCAGTTGGAAAACGATGGGACAGATAGTTGCCTCCGGGATGGCTCACTCTCTCCTCATGCAATCTTGCTTTCAAGGTATCTTCTCATTTTCTGCAAGGGGCCTCCTCTGTTTTCTCATCACTTCCGGGACAACTGGCTCTAGCGATTGGGCTGTCTTAGTTTACAGTCAACAGAGAGGAAAAAATCTGATTGGCTGCTCTTGGGTCAGGTGCTGACTCTGGATCCAATCAGCTACGGCTAAGGAGGTGGGGCCACCTAGTATGGGTGGCAACTTTCCCAACTTCAGCGGCAACCCGCGGGGCAGTGCCCCTGAGAAGGCTGCAGGATGTGGCCGTCGAGGAAACAGACACATCTGGGGACAGGAGTTTTGGTCTTCAGAATCCAGATTTCAATATTGTATTTGCCTCTCAGTTCACCCAGATTTTTGTCTATAGATGTGAACGTTTCCTTCTCACCGTTGCCCTGTATGTTATTGTGTAAGCGTACTTCAACTTACTTACCCATTTTTACTTTGGATAAGTATTGGAGTAGTTTCTAGGTTCTTCAACAGCTTACCTTTTTCCTGATGTAACATTTGTTGGACTTGCCTGGTGGTCCAGTGGCTAAGACTCGGCGCTCCTCAGGCAGAGGGCCTCGGTTCCATCCCTGGTCAGGGAAATAAATCCACATGCTGCAACTAAGACCCGGTGCAGCCAATAAATAAATATTGCCCCCCCCCCCCCCCANACTGAGCCTGCCCACCTAGAGCCCCGCACTGTGTAACGAGAGAAGGCACCGCCGTGAAAAGCCTGTGCACCACAGCTACAGAGTAGTCACCGCTTGCTGTACCTAGAGAAACCCCAGGAGCAGCAACCAAGACCGAGCGCAGCCAAAAATGAAACAAACAAGTAAACGTATTTTTTAAAAAACCTCAAGTGTCTGAGCTACTGGAGTTGGTTTTTAGTATGCTGATACAGAGGAGATGGTTTGGGAAATAGTTTCCAGGAACTAAAAGCTGAACAAAGACGTTGTGCAGATGTTCCTTGGCAGGTTCAATTTTCTCTTCCTGAATGAGATGTGTCTTTTCCGACAAGGCCAGGATGGGGCAGGTGTCGGTAAACAGTTCCCATGAAGGGTGGAGAGGATCAATGTGTTTCCTGCACGGTGATGTAAGCGGTGAGAATAGGGTGATGGTGGTGCAAGAAATAAGCTTCTTGCCCTACTAGACATACAACAAAACAAAAGGAATGCATTTTTTAAGTGAGGCATTAGTGAAAAAACAGATAAATGGGTCAGTGACAAAGAGAAGGAGCTCAGAAAGAACTCATGGGAACTCAATGTAATATTATATACTATATATAAAATATGGTAAAGCAGTAACTCAAATTAATAAGGGAAAGCTTAATAGAGAATTTAATAGTTTTCTTAACCCTATTTATTAATAGGGGAAATATGGTACACTTAGTTAATGGTATTAAGAAAACTGGCTCACTATGAGGAGCAAAATAAACCCAGATTTCTATCTGACACCACACAAGAAAGTGAATTCTAGAAGTATTAGAGACCAATATGGAAGAGATATAGTTGTAAGTCAGTAGAAAAAAGTCAAGGAGAATATATTTGAATCTCTGGGACAAGGAATGACTCCTTAAGACTTTAAAAGCAAAGATATTAGAACAAAACATTGGTTAAGTTGATTATGACAAAATTAAGAATTTGGGTTTAAAGGAAGGTAGAACAGACTTTTAATAGACATTTGTCAGAATGGGAGAAATTATTTGTAAAATCAAACATGAACCAGGGGAAAAGATGGAAAAAGAGACCAATGCCTATAATAGGCTGAGCACTGAAGAAACGATGCTTTCAAATTGTGGTGCCCGGAAGACTCTTGAGCATCCCTTGGATTGTCAGGAGATCCAACCAGTCCATCCTAAAGGAAATCAGTCCTGAATATTCATTGGAAGGACTGATGCTGAAGGGGAAGCTCCAATACTTTGGCCACCTGATGTGAAGAGCCAGACTCATTGGAAAAGACCCTGATGCTGGGAAAGATTGAAGACGGGAGGAGAAGGGGGTGACAGAGGATGAGATGGTTGGATGGTGTCATTGAATCAGTGAATGTGAGTTTGAGGAAAGTCGGGGAGACAGTAAGGGACAGGGAAGACTGGCGTGCTGCAGTCCTTGGGGTCACAAAGAGTTGGACATGACTGGACTTATTGACTGAACAACAACCAGAACAATCTGTGAACTGATAAGCAAGAAGATGGACACCCTTAGGGGAAAATAGGTAAAGGATTTGAATAGGCAATTTGCAAAAAAGCTACGCAAATGAGGGGGTGTTCAAACTCATTAGTTATCATAGAAATGTAAACTGAAACAACAAGATACTACTTTACACCCATTAGGGTGGAGAAAATTAGAAGGATGCGTAGTGTGAAGTATTGTTAGGGTTGTATAGGCATTAGAATATTCAGGCGCCGCTTGGGTACGTGTGGTGGTTTCAGTTCTCTGAGGAAGGATTCTGGCACTATTTCATCAAATTAAGTATACCCACACCCCATGATTCAGCCATTTCTCTCCTGACTATCCATCCCAAAGAAATTCTTACACACCCACAAGAGGACACGTACGAGGACATGACCTGCAGTGTTCTGTGTGGTGTCTCGGAGTTGGTAGCCATGGATTGTCCATTTCAAGGGAGACTGTTGGGGGAACGTGGGGACAAGCCTCCGTGGAGTTCCTGCAATGAGGCAGATGCAGGAACATGAAGAACGAGGAAGGGTCTTAGAAACACAGCGCTTGTTTGAAAAGCGACTTGGAAGACAGGGAGATGTGTAATCCAACGCCGATGACATAAGTTAAAAATACACACATATAAGAGCTACATGACATAGTTTGTGAGGCCGAAGGAGGAGGGCAGGAAGGAGGAAGGAAGGAAGAGAGGGAAGGAGAGAAGACAGAGAGAGAAGGATGGAGGGAGGGAGAGGAGACAGATAAAAGAGGGATCCCTTGCAAACCAGTGATGATAATGTTAATAATGATGTGTGCATGATATTCAACCTCTGAACTAAGGTCTAAAGGCAGTAAAAGAAAGAAAGAAATGAACTCGTCAAGTGATCATGCCACATCTTGCACAGTGAGGCACTGAACCTCTTCTGCAAGACTGTGGAAGCTGTCTGTGCTGTTTCTACTCACCGTGGCCACCTCCTAACACCACTGTGTATCCCTCACTCGTTACATGAAACTCTGGACCTAACCTGGCCATGGCGGCTCCTTGCTTGATCCCTCCCAGCACACACACACCAAAGGCACGGGGTCGGCTCCGGACTTCGGAGAAGCCGAGACGAAGGGCAAAAAGTGTCATCGGGTGTGTCCCCAGGAGGCTGGTGTGTCCTCCACCCGGTGCACTCGCTCTTGGGGGTGCCTG